TGGATAGCTTTCATAGTTCAGGAAGGTACTATGCAGGCTGCTGGGGGAGAATAGTCATCAACAATTTACCCAGCTGTAAACTCTGCAAGCTACATTGAACAGCCTGACAAAGTAAGGCAATGGGTGCAATAGTGTTGGTATAAATGTCATAAAGATAACCAACTGCTTTCTGATTGGATTTAAGACCTATTCACAGAAGGAAAATCATGCCTGGCATGGTAAAGCCTGCCAAGAATTCTTATCTAGAAAACGTACAGGCTCAGGGTGAGCCTGCTACTCTCCAGCAGCAAACTGTCTTTAAAATATGTGTCTTTCTACCCTTAGCTTAGCATGACTTTCAGTCCTTATGTGGGGGAAGGTTAATTAATACAGAGACTCACAACTGATAAAAGTATAAACGATGAAGATCTAGGGAATACTATGTACTAAATGAGATATATAAATTCACCAACTCTCTCCCCAAGACTCAGGGAACATCACAGATGAGCAGCCAAAAAGATTATGAGTCAGAGGTCAGAGTGGACTGGAGTAGAACACTATTTTCTAGACAAGACAGGACTGTTTCCCTCCTAAGCACACAGGAGTTTTCATTAACTGAACAAGGCTTGCACAAGATCAAGCCAGTTAACATTGTAGCATCGATGGAAAAGGGCTACATGAGCTCCAAACCCTTGCTGAATAGCTGTTGACAGTCTATGGCTGCTATTAGAGAGAGTTAACTTCCATTAGGAACATGGCCTCTGGCAGACTGACCATGCTCTAGTTCATAGCTCATACCAAAGTGCATATGGATAGCATGGATTTACTCAGTGATTTAAGAGGGATAGGACAGGGAATGAAAGTAGCTGAGACATGTTGGGGAAGGTCTCCAGGAAGAGTTGGAGTGGGAGGGTGAATATGATCAAAATACAATGTATTCATGCTTGAAATTCTCAAAGAGTAAGTTAGAAGTATTGTATTAAAAAGAAAGTATAGGGTTCAGAAGAAGGCAATATACATTTTTTTCGAATTCCAATTAACTGTTATATGGAAATTCTGAATTTAACAAAATTCTCCTTCTAGGATGAGTGGCCAGTAGGTCTTTCTCAGACAAGAAAAATAAAAGATATTGTCACTAACAATGAGTCACCCCTAAAATTTGAAGCTTTTTAGTGAACAGAAAAAAATTAAACAAAGAAGAATTTTGAGGCCATGGGAGAAAGAAAAAAATTAAAGAACAATATATAGGTAATATCATTTTTCTAAATCACATTAGTGATTAAAATCAAAATTGTAACATCATCTGATCCTCTAAGCAATGATTCCCCAAAGACAGGAGACTGAAAGGACCTAAGTAGATGTAACATTTCTGTACTTCACCTCAGAACAGTGGAAGACTGATAAGATAAGCACAAAATGATGAACATAAAATTTATGTAACACATGATAAATAAAATCAAGATGGAATCTTAAAAGTTTGTCAAGTAACTCACAGGATGTCATGAAGAAAACAGCAATCAAAGAGAAAGCAAAGATTAGATTTTCTCTAATATACTAAAAAGTCAAATGATCTAAATATACTAACCACAAGGCAGAGATAATAACACGTTGTTTAATGTGCTGTTTACAAGGAACCATAAATTCAATGGCACAAGTAGGTCAAGAATAGAAAAGTAGGGAAAAATATAACATGCAAACCTAAGCTTTAAAATCCCAGTGGTGGTTACAGTAATATTACATAAAGTAGATGTGAAAATAAATAGATACATCAGACAAGGAGCATTGTATAATGGCAGGACAATCAACCCCCATGGAAAGACAATGACTTTAAAATGAGCGCCAAACAACAGAGCCCCCAAACCTCAAAAATACAGGAAACAAAACTTGTTAGAGCAGAAAGAAGAAACACAAATCTGCCATTGTAGACAGGAATTTTACTTCTGTCTTCTAAGTGAGTAGTAAGTTGTCCAGACAGTAAATTGGTAAAGGTACAGAATATGTGGGCAACACAATCAACAGGATGTAGTGGATATACATAGATATTCATTCTCAGTAACACACAGAGTACCTTTGTCCTTAGAAATCTAAAGACAGGCACCAAGACACATGGCAAACCTGAACAAATTTTGAAATACTTGAAATCATAGAATGTGTTCTATAATCCTGATGAATAAAACTATAAATCAATAGCAGAATGAATTTTAAAGAATTACACACTTAGAAATACCCAAAGTAAATTTTAGGAACGTACAGGAAAGGTGAAATAACATGAAAAAGTGCACATACATGACTGTGTGGGATGCTCCTAGGACAGTAATGAGAGTTCAGTTTTCTAATTTATATTGTTAAATGCTCATATTAGAAGGCAAAAAGCAAATGACTCAAAGAAAGCAGAATGGAGAGCCAAATAAAGAGCAAAACCCAACAAAATAGAAAATAGAAAAATGAATTAAGCAAAAAAATCTTTACGAACAAAAAAGAAACAAAATTGATAAATACATATAAGAAGATGGAAAAAACCCAGAAGATGCAAAATATTGAAACCAGGAATAAAACAGAAATCATTACAAATTCTAAAGTCATTTAAAAAGACAAGGCAATACTATCAGCAACATAAGCTTAAATGTGACAACAAATTAGCAATAACTTGCATGGATACAATCACCTAATGTGTTTATTGACATATAGAGAGCTCTATTCAACAATAGCAGAGTAGGGGTTCACAGCACCCTTTGATTCTTGGTAAGGAAGCATTTTGAGCCCAAGACCCAAGATGAAAGACCCAGCCAGAAGTCCTTCTACTTAAATACTACAGTGAATGTGTAGAAATGGAATTTAAAATATAATGCTATTTATAATTATTGTAAAGAAAATGAAATACTAAGTGCAACTTCAAAAGGTATAACTTAGCAATGAAAGTGCCTACAGTCTGTACGTGGAAATTAATCAAGAGACAAATACTTTAAGAAGAAACTCTGTGAAGTCATGGAGCCATTTTGCTTAAACATGTGTCAATAAGCATGGGGACAACTATTCAACATCACTAGTCATTAAATAAATGGAAATTCAAAATGTAATGAGAAATCACTAGATATCTATCAGAACAGAGAATGTTTTAACAATGCCAACAATCAAAGACTAATGAAATTTGAGGAAGCCAATCACTCACATACGGCTGGTGGAAATACAAAAGGTTTCCTTGGGGGAACTTGGCAAATTGTACATGAGCCTTTCCCTTCTTTCTTAAAACAGCGTGTGATTACTATCTAAAGGGGTTGATTTAAGAAGCTGGAAGAAAAGTAAAATAAATTAGCACTGAAAGTGGGACTTGGAATGGCAGAAGTAAACAGTGTCAGCTTGTACCTCATCCCACCATGTCTGGCTGTCATTTCACAGTGAACACTTGCTCATGGAAATTGCTTTTCTTTGTTTCAGACACACAGTAGGGAATGATTCTCATTCTTTGTATGGTTAAGTGTGGTTTATGAGTGAACTTTGACCAGTGAACATGGGAAGAAGGGTTGGTCATTACTTGGCCCATAAAAGCCACAGATACTCCACTCTCCTTCTCCACTGGCTCGCTGTGCAAAAGCATGGGGACTTTATCATTGAATCACCTTGGGGGGAGGATTGATGATGGGAACACAATTTTGGAGTTCACATGGTAAAAAATACTAATTCATTCATCCATAGAAACTGGGGACAGCTAGGACATTTTAACTCATACACTTATTCTTTTCCATTATTAAATCCAACCTTTCCAGAACATTCTGTACCTTGTTCAGCCATGTTGTTTTTCTGATAAGGCAATAGAACAATGGCTTCTCACTCTTATTGAATCTCCTTTCTGTAATCCAAAACTTAATATTTGGGATCCTTGAAATATAATCACTACTTTGATCCAAGAAGAATGCAAAATAGTTGCATAATGCATCAATATACCAAAATCAGATATGTTTGAAAGGAAATAAAAGTATGAAATGAAAATGAGATAATGAAATATTTTTAAGGGTGAGGTAACTACATAAATATATTACAGACAAACCTACATGTTTAAACTTCATATTGGTTTCTATGTGACAATATGATAGAAAAATAAGACACATCACAAGATTTATGTTCATACCCTTTGAAAATTAAGGTAAAAGCATGCATGTTAGAAATTGATCAGGTAATAGATCTGGATGCTGCCACAAGACAAAGTTTCTACAGCAACCAGACATAAGCACCATCCAAAATCAAAGTCCATCATCTTCAAACCTGAGATAGTAAAATCAAGGGACTCCTAGGTGTAAGTGGACCTCATTTGTTTCCATTCATCATAAGTTTTCCCCAGACATTCTCAACAGCAGTCAAAGTATTTCCCAATACACATATTTAATCTATGGAGAAAAAGATGGGGTAGACGCCTAGATTTGACTATCTTTCTCTTTGGTATCTAGCAGCTGTGGGTAAATCACTACTTATTAGCAATTTGAGGGGCTGTTTCAAAAGTTCTGAAAGTTTCATAATACACAGTAGATACCAATGCCTGTTTTAAGTGGAAAATAGACACGCATGGCCTTAGGGTGTAGAGAAGGTGCTTCCAAAGAAAGAGCAGGCGCTGAAGTTTGATGAGTTAACTGACTTTAGCCGCAGAACAGTTGAGCAAGATTATTTGAAACTGGGTAATTTTTCTTTGTGTACATATACATAACTATAATAACTTTGCCAGAAAATATGAATAAACCATAAAAAATTCTCAAATTCAGTCACTTCTAGAGTAAAGAATTTGAAATGGTCAGCAATTCTCAGTAAAATGGTTCCCATTTTATTCATTTCCATACCCACTCTTTACATTTCCCCCATGAGTTAAGGAGTTACATGTGATCCAGGATATTTTTTCATGCCCACAAGGGGGACCCTTTGTGCCATGGCACCAGAGTTTACACAGCACAGGTCTTACTTCTAATCAGCCATTTAGTTGCATCCATTCTCTGCCATAAAACACAAGGAGTCATTTCTCATTTCATTAGCCTCACCTGTGAATCCAGGCTGACAGATACAAACATAGCCCGAGGCTCCAAGGTAGCTGAAGGAGGAAGGCAGGCCAGCAATGTGTCCATATAGATCCTCTGAGGACAGTTCGGCACATTCACCCCCAAATTGGCAGGGGTTGCTACTGCATTCATTTATGTCCATCTCACACAGGGCACCTGTGTATCCTGCAGGATGAAAGTTCAGAGAAACTGCTGAGCCAAAGCCTGGAAAATGCCAGGCACATGTCTGAGAGGAGGCTGACCACTGTGCTGGTGCCAATTAGCAAGATGCCCACCCTGGAAAAGCTAGCAGGAGAAGTCGATAAGAGGATGCTACATGGAAATAGATTCCAGTAGCAATGGATAAGGGGTACATAATGAATTCTAGAAGATGTATGACTTTGTTCAACATTTTTAGAAAGGTTTCATTAGTAAGGCTTGAAATAAAATGCAATTTCAAGATAATTATGATTTAATCTGAACACTGCATGGAATGGAAAATCATGTATACTAATTTAGCAAATAATTATTTTAAAAATTGAAACTGTTTAAGAAAATACATAAAATGTCAGCCATATCCATACAGCCAACCTCGAGTCCCTTGTGCTTGCCTGATTTATGTCAACTGGACACAAGTTAGAGTCATCAGAGAGGAAGGAGCATCAGTTCCTGTCCCCAGACTCCTGCCCTGTATTCCTTCAATGATGAACTAGATGTGGATGTGTAAGAAAACACAAACCCCTTGCTCCCCAACTTGCATTGGTCATGATGTTTCATCCCAGCATTAGAAACCCTGAGGTAGCCCTGAAAGGTCAGAGTAACTGAGACAGAAATTGGTACCAGTATAGTGGGGGATCTCTGTGACAGACCTGACCACATTGTTTGGGGGAGGATTACAAGGACTTTGGAACTCTGGGCTATGCAGTGTCTAAAGCTTGGTGGGCTATTCAGTGGGAGCTTGGAAGATAAGAATATTGAGAGAAATGAAGATAATGGAGCCTGTCTCTTTAAGTTTCAGAGGGAAGTTTGCAAGTCTCTTAATGATTGCTATTTTGAGTTAAGAATCTGTGGTTCTGGTTAGCTGGGGCTGAAGGTTAACAAGATACCAAGACAAGTGAAGTAAAATCTTTCCTTACTGGGACAATTGATGCTGGTTAGCTGGAACTGAGAAATTCTCAGTGACTAACCATGATGCAGGGGCAAAACATAGTTTAATAGGAATGGGTTAAGTTAAGCTGTAAGAGCTAGCTAGTAAGAAGCCTGAGCCTTAGCTCTACAGTGTGTAATTTATATAAGCCTCTGTGTGTTTACTTGGGCCAAGCAGCTGCGGGACTGGGTGGGGCACAGGAAAACTTCCAGTACAGAGGTGACCAGCATCATGGAAGTGGAATCTTCAGAGAAGCGTTTCCTTAGAGTCAATATATTGCAGCTGTGCTCCAGATGTGGCCACTATTATACTCTATGCCTGCAACGGAACCTGGTAGTATAAGAGTCACCCCAGGTGGTACTGGTTTTGCAGGCACGAAGGGTCACAGAGAGCACCTGAGGTTTGGCACTGTATGGCAGGACTGGAGTTACCCGAAGAAAGTCCAGGAGAGGCTAACGTGAGAGTGCAGCACAGTTGCAGCAGATTCCAGCATCTGGAGATGTCAGTACCGTGGGATAACAACTAAGGCTAGCAGCAGGTGTGGAGTGAAGCCAGCCAGAGCCTAGGAGACAGTGTGTGTTTTGGAGCAAGCAGAGCCAGAGAAAGTATCCTGTGCCCTTTGGATGAGCCCCAAAGAACATCAGTGGATCCCAGATACTGGACATTGAGTGATTTACCCCATTGGAGTTTTTGTTTGGCTTTGGCATGATTATGACTATGCTCTGATTCTTCCCTTTTGAAATAAGAATGTATTTAACTTATTTTTAATTTTATAGAAACCAACACTTGAGTTAATTCTGGTTTTAAAAGTCACTTTGGTTTTTAAAAGAAATTTTGGATAATTTAAAAGAGAATGAACTCTAAAAGTATTTGAATTTGCAAGACTTTGGGACTTTTTAGGTTTGTAAAATGTTTTATATTGTGGTGTCTATATTAAAGTGTGGTCTCGGGGGATGAGCAAGAAAGGATAGGTTGTGGCTGAATAGTGATATGCTTGTGTGTCAAGTTGACAAGGGGTCAGTTTGTGCCGGCTAGTTTTATGTCAACTTGCCACAAGCTAAAGTCATCCGAGAAGAAAGAGCAAGCCAGTAAGTAGTAGCATTCCACCATGGCCTCTGCATCCAGGATCCTGCCCTGACTTCCTTCAGTGATGAACTACATGTGGAAGTATAAATCAGTAAACCCTTCCTCCCCAAGTTATTTTGGTCATGGTGTTTCATCACAGCTGTAGAAACCCTAAGGTACCCCTTAAAGGTCAGAGTTATGACCCAGCACACAGAAGTAGATTATCTTATACCTTCCTGGGTCCAGGTAAGTCATTTCATTATGGCTAAGGATTTAAAAATAAATAGCTTACCACTGTATAAGAAACTAAAATATCAAACACTAGAGAAATTTCCCTATGCAATTTGCTTCTGTGTCTTTACACACATGTGTACCTATAAAAGTATAGCTTTATTGTGTGTGGATAGGCCTTTAACATAAGAGAATCGTATCACATGTAACCTTTCATAGCTTGCTCTGTTTACACCTTGCTTATTCTAAGTTCCTAAGACATAGCTAACTCATAATATCTAGATACCATTAGGTGTCCCCAAAATGCGGATGTGCCACAGTATAAGCGTTCATTGATAGGTTTTTAACACATTTTACAATGCAGTGTTGTGTATGGGGGGTAAAGCCCTGGAGTTGAGGCCTGAAAATGGAACTTCTGTGTTATAGGTTATGCACTTTTATCATTGTAGCCAAATTTGACAGATGCCACGAAGCTATCTGCACAATTAACACATCGCCAACAAGTGGATCTGAATGCCTATTGGGCATTTTCTACCACCAAATACAAGTTTTTCAAAATATGTTGTTTTAGTTACATTTTCCCTAATTACCACCTAGTTTAGTATATTTGATCCCCAAAATGTTTTATATCATTTTCCTGTTTTATCCATTAGCAGGATTTTCTTATTTGCTTGTGCTGTTTGGAGTGCTAATCCAAAAATGTAAATTTAGTGGAACACTGACATAATGTTGGTGGCCACTGAAATAGCATCTGCTACTTTGTAAGCTGGTGAGATAAATGTATGGAGTCTTTCAAGGGACACAAACTTACAACACAAGTGACATATGTAATGTCATTTTAAGTTCACTGAGAAACTTATTTTTATCCTAAATCACAAAATTTGAATATCAGACCATAACACTTTTCCCCTTTAAAATAATAACAATGGCTTCCTATTTTCACACAGGCTAAAATTCAAGACCTTTTGTAAGCCTAAGCACTCCCTTGGCAGATGGGCTCCTTCCATCCCAGCACCCCTTCCTCATCCAGCTCCCTCACTTCCTCCCTGAGGATGTTTCCCACCCCATAGCCTTAGCAATGCTGCCTTGCCTTTGGGGAAATTCTCTCCCAAGCCTTTGCTTGACCAACTCTTCCTCCATTTTCAGGCTGTACCGCACTTTACTTTTCTCTCTTGTTCAGATCACACACAGCACAAGAAGATGTCTTGGTCTCCTGTCATTGTTCCTCAGTCTTTTTCTTCCATTGCTCTTTTGACAACTTTTAACGATGTGTTTATTTGCATGTATAGTTGACTGACTCAACAGATTGTGTGTATTTTATTCAACACTCCACTACCCAGCAATACATAAATAGTTTGACCTTCAATCAATGACTGAGTGAGAATAAATAGTACTAATTAATGGTTAAAATGACAACAACTTAAATTATAACCAGCTCAGTGCATAACTAGAGAATTAACTATTAATGAGCCAGTAATGAGAATACAATGTTATTGCTCATTTTGTAACTATAATAAAAACCTGAGTGGATCCTATTTCAAATAATAACCACAATATAAATCCTCTTGCACTACAGTCTAAAATATTTATTTCATGTAACCCTTGGGGCCTTTCTCAACAATCTGAAGAAGAAACTCAAGCATTGGATAAAGGAACTAAGAAGCATGTCAAATAGAGACCTCACAATTCTTAATGGAGAGCTCCCCAAGGAACCCTCAGAATCTCTTCAATGAGAATGCCTGCTTTTCAAATACTTCCACTTCATGCTTACATACTTATAAATTGTTACTAAACAATAGTTATCTCAATAGGTTCCTATGTATCAGAATTTGTTTGCTACAGTAGACTTTCTGAAAAAAAAGCACAGGCTGTTTGTAATATTCTTTGTGTTCTAAGACTCAAGACTCACACATCAGCCAAGTTAGGAAGAGATTTAGGACCATAATAAATCCTTCCCTGCTTTTCCGGCTCATGCATTATCTCACTGAATTGGGAGCAGGGGGGACGTGCTGATTTATGTGTTTGCCAGCCCTGTCCACACCACCAATGCTCTGGGGGAATTTTAGTTGCTGTCCTCTTTAACCAGATATAAATAGATTCCTTCAGTCAAGACCACAATCAATATTTTTAACAAGTTTCTCTATAAATCTCTGTACAAAGAAACAACATGATACCGAATCAGATCCCCCAGCTTGTGATTTTTTTGTTTTTTGTTTTTTGTCTTTTGTCCACATATCCAATCACATCTGAGTTTCAGGAAAGCTTCTGTGATAAACATTTAAGTTGATGGATACTTCTGAAAATTATTTACTTTTGAAATAAGGACTTTAGACAAATACAGCAGTGGTCCTTGCCGATGTGTTCTTGAGCACTGCTTTTCCAGTCCTTTCTTACTTATAAAGTAGCTTGTAGCATTAAATCTCATTGTATACAACAGTGAGCAAGGGTATAAAGCCATTTTTACTTTTCTCTCTAGGGTAACCCACCGTCCACACAGTGACCTGAGATAGAAACCCAGATTCTTAATATGCTGACTCTCCTCCTGTCGTTCACCTCCCACGTGACCCTCGTGGCCGCTATGTTAGTTACTTCTTCATAGATGTGATGGAAATACTTACAACAGCAACATAACAGAGGAAGGGATCGTTTTGGATCCGAATTTCGAGGCTCCCAATCCATCACAGTAGGGGAAGGCACGGGGGGGGGGGAGTGTCTCAGTCGGGGTGGCAAGAATGTGTGGTGGTAAGGACTAAAGGCTAGAAACGATCTCTAACAACGACCCATCCTCCCCTCCAGATCCTATCACTGTCCTCTTAGTTCTGGCAAGTGACTCGGTTCTGTTTAAAAATCTCTCGCATGTTCAGTTTTATTTCACTCAGCCAGCTTTCACTAAACTGTAAGAGAACGTTTTGTAAATGAACAAGTCGGGTTATGTGTCTTCATTAGGTTTTCTATTGCTGTAGAGAGACACCATGACCAACGCAACTCTTAAAAGGGGAAACAACAACATTTAATTGGAGAGGCTGGCTTACAGTTCAGAGGTTCAGTCCATGGTGGAACATGGCGATGGGCAGGCAGACCTGGTGCTAGAGAAGTAGCTGAGAGTCCTACATCTAGCAGGCAGCAGGATATTGTCTGTCTTACTGGACATGGCTTGAGCATATATGAGACCTTAGAGCCTGCCTCTACAGTGACATACTTCCTCCAACAAGACCTACGTCAACAAGGTCATATCTCCTAATAGTGCCACTCCCTTTGGGGGCCATTTTCTTTCAAACCACCACAGTTTGTAACTTCCCTGACTCATAATTTGCACGGTAGACAAGTATCTCTGAGATCTTACTGCCTTCCTCCCCACCTCACTGACACCAGTCAACATAGTCAGATGTCTTGAACAGTCACTCAAAGTTCCAGAGCAGGACAGGGCCCTTTCTATGTGTGCCTACCACATTTCTTGTTTCTTTCCTGTCCCTTCCTCTTTCCCTCCCTCACTTCCTTCCTAAAGTAAGTAGTATGCTGCTTGGTGTTAGTCAGGGCATGGAATGATCAACCTCCTAATTTTACTAGCTACTTAAGTGTTTATTGAGTTTTCTACGTTGTAAGCTGAACTAAGATCTTTATATTTATTACTGGAGTTTTTTTTTTTTCTAAAACAGCTCAAGGAGGTGGATATCAATATCAACACCTGTCTTTTATAAGTGAAATATCAGTCTGAAGAGTGGCTAAGACACTTGTCCAAAGTCTCTGTCAGTGAGTCCATTTATGATATATTTCTACTCATATTTTCTAAATGGTAATATTCCCTTTAATATAATTTTATTCAAGTACCTTAATGCACCAAAACTTGTAATTTTTTTGTATACTGCATCTCTATCAGAATTAGAAATGACCTTTTGACTCCCATATTATGAGAGATTGACTAACTTCATGAATTATGAGATTGATGAACTGCATGAATTTTCTAAGAGACAAGACAACCTCTTAGAAGGTTAACATATTGGAGTGTATTTATCATTTCCAGTGTCTGAGAAGAAGTAGATGAAAAGAAACCATCCCAATGAATGTTTCTTCATGAAAGCCATGTGGAATCCCACCTTCCACTGCTGTGTTTCTGGACCTAGATGGTTCTAGTTATTGATGCTGTGGTCACCCGCCTTACAAAGTGTACAGTATAGTGCCAATCCTGTGTGGGCAATGAAGAATGCAACTCAATATGTAAAGCTGAATAAAGCGTTGGCTTAATGCCTTTGATGGCAAGAATTTTTAGTTTAATTTCTACAAGCAACTTGTTACTAGTCCAAGTAAAAAGAAAAAAATGATAAGGTATTTGTCACTTACCAGGCCAGCAGTGACAGATGTAGCTGTCAACGATGTCTTCACAGGTAGCATTATTGTGACAAGGCTTTGACCAACAAGGAGGCATCAAGGTCTCACAATGCGTCCCCATGAATCCACTACCTGTGCAGTCACAATGGTAGCTAGATAGTAAATGAAAATTTCCTGTCAACTCTTGGTCATCCTGAAACTGACCTTCTTTATTCTGTCTCTATTTGTCCATCAACCTGACCCCAATGGCATAGTCTTCACACTGACCTCAAAAGCACCATGGAGCTATCTCTGTAGACCTGAATGGTTATGTGTTTCCATAACAATGCCTTATCATTACTGATTAAAAAAAATGACAGTAAAGCTCCATTCGACATTATTTGGAAGCCAGTTTCATCATGCATAAATTAAAGACTTAGGTGATGAGATCATAGTGATAATTGAATATATGTAAAAGAATAGAAACAACATCTTAAGTATATCAGGGTATTAGGTTACTATTAAATAGTATAGTAAATAAAATTACTAGTATTTTGAAGGTAGCAGGTAACAACTCACACCAAATAAGGTCTACTATAAAAATCAAACTTTTTTTTCACTCAATAGAAGCACTCTTAAGCATGTTGTGATTAAGATGTTTGTTGCTTTTTGAGTATACCAATATCTTAGTTTTTCTATTTCTAACCATTCATTGACTACAACTATTTCACAGTGACAAAATTCAATCTGGTGGGGTGAGTTGTTGAATTTTTATTTAAGGAGGCTTCAAATTTAGGTGATATCTCCTCAAGGATTTAGTGTCATCTGCACGCTTAGGTGAAATAGAAATGGTGTTTTGAGGAGATGCTTCAACCACAAAACATTTCTAAACCATTCCCGATGGCACTGTGTATTTATCATCAAGCATGGATTTTGGACTGTTTAAGGATCTAGAAATGGTAGAATGCAAGGGACATTGGTTTTATGTCTCAAATAGTTAGAAAAAAAAATCTATTCATGGTTTTGTTTAATTAAAAATGCTAAAAAAAAAAATAGGGCCAGAAAGATGGCCCAGCACATGAAAACTCTAGCTGTGTAAGCCTGAGGACCTGAGTTCAACTCACAAACCCACATAATGTGGAAGGAGAGGATGAACTTCATGGATTTGTCATTCCTGGATCTCCACATGTATACTGTGACACAGGCACTTACCCTAACACACACACACACACTGATGATGATAATGACGACAATGATGATGGTGATAATAGGTCTGGAGATGGCTCAGTGGTTAAGAGCATGTACTGTTCTTCCAAAGGACCTGAGTTCCATTCTCAGCACCCATGTTAGGTGGTTCACGACCACCTCTAATTCCAGCTTCAAGGAATCTGACACCTCTGGCCTTCTTAAACACCTGCACCCATGTGTACATTCCCCCAACACCCATATACATACAATACACATAATTAAAAAGTAAATAAATAAATAAATACTTAAAAGAAAAAAGTATGCCACCTATAGGCTAACTATAAATAAGCTGTTAAAAAATACTAATCTTCTCTATGTGAGACATTAGAGACATGTGTCCTATATTAAAGGAGCACATCTAAGTTCACAGAAATAGAGATCCCATTTGAAAGTCATTTGGTATGTAAGAATCAATTTTCTCACATGAATTATAGGAAAGGTGTTAATTTTTATTGTGTAAAAATAAACTCAAACCACATTGGTTGATCCTCACAAAAATTAGGTATTGAGAGATACAACAGTAAAATGAAGAAATGAATCATGGCATCTTTAAGAGCAGAGAAAAAAGGGTACAAGTTTCCAGCCTGTGAGCCTCCCCATCAGAACCAAAATCCTTGTGTTATCTGCCTTAATGTTTTCTAGACAGAGCAGTACCCACTATAGAGAGTTTTCATTCCCTTGGAAGTTTCAGTCATTCTAACCTCCCCATCTCTGTTGTATCCAGTTAGCTGTCACCAGGGGTATAGACTCCCATCACAGGTTCATTGTTTGGTTCCAAGGAAAAGTCAAATGAAGACATAGGGTATGATTTAAAATTGTGCTTCAGATTTTTAAAAAGAAATGTTCAATCTCACTGCTCTATGTAAAAATCTTATTATCTTATTAAATAACTTATGGCTATGTTTGAAGCACACATGCCTTTCATTATATTCATTTTGAGTTTTAGTCATTTTGAAATTAGATTTGAAGTAAGTTATGACTTTCTTTTTGTGTGTGCTATTGGGAATTGAACCCATGGCCTTGCACACTCTAGGCATGTACTCTACCACTGAACTAAAACCTCAGACCCATGTCTGATTTATTAAAAAGAGGGAAAATGATTTTATTTCTACTTTTACAAGAATTTAATGATGTGAACTCATGGGAGCATCTACCATCTCTTTACTTCAGATTCCTTATTACAATTAAGGAACGGTATATATTACAATTTGGGAACAGTCATGCTCACCATGCTTCCCACAGGGCTGTTATCAAATGAGGGAATTCTAAGTTCAATGCTATTAAATGTTGCTCTCCACTTGACAGTTCTGTATTCATAGCTTAAGCAAGTATGAGAACATTCTTTATAGGGATATATTATTGGATATGAACTCAGCCATCACTCTACTAATTAATTGTATTTATCACACAAAGATATAATTTAGTGTTGCCCTTTTCCCCAAAAACCAATGAGAGACTCATATTTGGAGGAGAATTGAGTTACACTTTCTGATAATTATGCTTCCTCAAATAAATTCACCCAATTCCCCAAACACCTGGAAAACCAAGATATACCAATTTAGTATCATTGCTCTTACAGCAGAATTTATAGACAAATTCTGAAGGATTTACTTTTCCATTTGATTTATTTGCTTATTTTCATAAATATAAACCTTATGTTCACAATTTTAACAATTGATAGCCTTGCTTTTGCATCTTCCTTATCTATAACAGGTTTATTACATGGAGTTTAGATGTTGGTACTTTTCTATGATACATGTAGTTCTCAACCGTTACAAGGGTGCCTTGGAAAACCTTCACTTAGGACAGATGTCCACCGAATATTTTTGTTCTTGTCTTAGTAAAATCAAAATACTGCAACTTTTCATTACTTGATGTAATTTGCAACTCAAATGGAGGCCATGAGAGCTTGAAATTCACCATGGTTATACAATAGTGCTTGGTCTCTGAAAGCCCATCACTCATGTATAGAACACTTACCTGTTTCCTCCATCCACGCACAGACCTCCATGGAGACACGGCTGACTGGCACATTCATCAAAGTTGAATTCACAGTGATCTCCAAGGAATCCAGGTGCACAGTCACAGAAGTAAGCCCCGAGAGCATCCTGACATGTGGCACCATGTAGACAGGGCTGGGATCCACATTCATCAATTTCCAACTCACAGTTTACACCTTCGAGAGAAGCCAGCACAGGAAGCCAGAAAAGTTTTAGCAAAGTGAAAATATTTTAGCTGCTTGGCAATACTTTATTTACTAAAGCACTTGTCAAATGTTATGTTACCCAAAATAATTTTTCCTCCTCTACTCTAATTGCTATTAACTCTGTGCGCTTGTGGGAAGTTGCACCGAGCAGAGCAGCTGTCCCTAGTGAGGACTGCTGCCTACAACAGCTTGTGGCTTTTTTGTCTGTGGAAACAAATAAGTTATTTTTAGAACAAAATTATTGTTAACTGTACTTTTGTTGGAATACTAAATGGATTGTTGGTTTTCTTTTCTTTACTTTCCTTATTTTGAAACACTTAGTTTAGTTAGGCCACACAGAATAGGGGGTAAGAGCTCAGGCAGGCTGGGTTTTTGTCTTAGCATAATTACCGGCTGTGTGTTCTGGTTGATGTATACAGAGACTTTAAAAGCACAGGAAAGGACTGTATGTGCTTACCCATCCTTTACTACTGCGGCAGTAATCCAGGATAACCAATCATGCATTAAAACATTGCAGGATTCCAAAGTGCCTCAGAGGTAGTGCTAAGTTTTACTTTGTTCTCCTTTCTTGAACTAAAATGCAGTAGAAATGTTCCAACAGTGTATACTATTTATAACTGTCACTGGATTCTATAAACACCCCAATTAAAAAGTCAACAATATATAAAATTTGACTTATTTTTATTTTTTTCAGAAGAAAAACATTCTATCAGTAAAAATGGAAATTTGTCCAATAGCATCAGGCCCATCCTCATGGACTAGTCCCTTAGCATTTATCATTTGGTGTCCCTAACCATCCTCTCTCCTCATCACTCAATATGTGATCCCTAAAAAGTACAAATCTTGTTATGTCAATATTTGCAGAAAGTTTTTAAATAGCTTCTCCCAACACCTCCCGAATAAAGCAAAGTTTCTTCATAATTCAGTCACAGCTTCTAACAGATGGAAGCTCCACTCCCTGCTGTGTGTGCTTGCGATGATATGATCTGACCCCACATGGATGTGCCCCTTACTAGTAAGGCCTCACTCGTCACCCTCTACTTCCAAAGAGTTGGGTTGAGCAGACCAAGATTCTGGAAATTACACTTAACTGCTCATTAAAGCTTCTGATGCTGCCTCATCATCCCCTCAAAATGCCCTGTAATACCAATGTATTTATCATATTTCTTATTTTTCTCACGTACAGAATGGTGAACTCTTTTATGTCAATGTTTGTTGTTTTCTGTGGCATTTGGCATATCTTCTTGAACAAAGGATATGATCAATTAATTTTCAATGAACATTTGTTGCAACTGTGTGGTAATCTGTTTCTTTCTCCAGAACAGTGAGCTGGCGCACCAGGGCAGAGTTTCTATGTCTTCAGTAAAGCTGGGTCTACTGTCCTACAGGAGCAGGGAAGTCAATTTATGGCTTTGACAAATGTTTAAAACAAATCATGTTTTCTCAAAGACTGTCCTAAACTTCTGATACACATTTGGAAATATTTATCCCTTATTATGTATCTTTTGACAATTGGAGATCTGTGTTAACATTCTGTGCCACTAGATAATGCACATCATATGCTATCAGTGTGGAGCAGGTCTCACACAAAATACTGTCCTCATCACTCACTGCAGCAGGCAGAGAGAACATGACACACGAAGTGGGGCCATGACAAACCACCCTAAACACCTTACCCACTATCTGCAGAGCCCATGCTTTGGAAATCATTGTGCTCTAGGTTTATCATGCTAAATTCCAGATTCCACATGATATGTGTGATCCCAATGCATTCAATTTTTCTTTAGAATAAGAATTATGCTTCCTGGTTATGGGCTCCTTATATAAATCCCTTATATTACTAATGCATGTTTGTGAGATGAGTGTCTGTGCACAGAGTGTAGGTAGCTCTCAGTTCTGTTGCTGCTATGAACAGTCTGGTTCTCTCTCTCTCTCTCTCTCTCTCTCTCTCTCTCTCTCTCTCTCTCTCTCACACACACACACACACACACACACACACACACACGCAACAACAAAATTTTAATCAAAATGCAGGTAAAGGTTACTTGGACTTCTTCCTTTCTTAGTTATAGCTCCTTTGTCTTCTTCCTTTGTCTTATTGTCCTAGCTAAGACTTGAAGTACTGTGTTGAACAAGAGAGTGAAAGTTGGTATCAGAGCATTCTCAAAAGATGAAATAAAATGCCTAAGAATTTTTTTAATGTTTAACATCTTTAGCCATCAAGGAAATTCAAATTAAAATTAACTTGAGATTTCACCTAAACACAGTCAGAATGGCTGATTTAAAAAAATGATAACAAATTCTAGAGTGAGTATGAGGAAAGGGGGGTGCTTAGTCACTGATTGTGGGTGTGCAAAACCCCCACAGCCTCCTTGGAAATCAGTATGTGGACTCTCCAAAAAGATAGAAATAGATCTACTTTATGATCCAGCTATAATACTCCTGGACATATGCTCAATGAATTCCCCATTCTAGTATAGAAATATCTTTTCATCTATGTTCATTGCTATTGTGCTTATAATCGCTGGGAAATGAAAACAGATTAGATTCCTACCAACTAATGAATGGATAATGAAAAAGCTTTTAAGAAAAATGGAATTATGAGACTCACAGGTAAATGGATAGAACTAGAAATAATCATTCTGAGTTAGGTATCTGAGACCCAGAACAACAAATGTTGCATGTTTCCTTTAATTTATTGATATTACATTTGGATACTCAAATTTGCATGTTTCATTTGGACTATCCATTGAGGTCAGTAAATTAGTAAGCAGTAATGATGGTAAGACCCCACTGGTGAAGACACCACACAACTGAGTCATAGAATATGGAGAAATCAACCTGGAACTGACCTGAAAGCTTCATTTCTAGTGTATAGCTTTCATAGTGATTGTGCTGTCAAAAGACAAAAATCAGCAACAATACCCAGCTGAGATCTCTGGGAGCTATAATAATGAGTGACCTGGTAAGACATACCCACTGGTACAACAGTGGGATGAATATCATGGGGGTAACCAATTGTTTTCGTGTGATTGTCTTAGTTACTTTGCTTGTTTCTGTGACAAATTTCCCTGATAAAAGCATCTTAAAGAAGAAAGCATTTATGCTGCTTGCAGTTCAAGGGTATAGTCCATCATGGTGGCAGAAGCTTGAGGTGGCTAGTCACATTATATATGCAGTCAGGAAGCAAGGAGTGATAACACACTGAGTTCAGCTAGCCTTTTCTTTTTTTATGATGTCCAGGACCCAAACCCAGAAAATGGTGCCACCCACTTTTATAGTGGATCTCCCAAACCTCAATTACCTTAATCAACATATTCCCTCATAAGCATGGTCAGAGTATAATCTAATCAAAATAATCCATAACAGGTGTGTCTGGATGCTTGTCTCCTAGGTGATTCCAGATCCTGTCATCTTGACCCTGTACCAGCAACATTAGCATTGTGTGGGACTTGTGACAAGTACACATTCTTCAGCCTCATCTCAGATCTATGGAATCAGATACTGTATTTCCATGGCAAGTTCTTCAGGTGGGTTTGATACATGCTAAAGTTTGAGAGCCATTGGTACACATTGTAAGTTCATTAAGTTGGAAGTATCACTGGAGATTTTAGCGCATATTTTTATTAGAGGCATCAAAGTTTCCCTAGATAAAATAAGTGTGAAAATATTATTTGTGTGTATGTAGGTGGTTTTTATATGTATGTTTGGACATGGTGTCTCACTGAACCTAAAACTCACCAATTGTCTGGCTTGGCTAGCCAATGAGCTATAGGGAGGTTGGAATTATAGACAAGAAGTATAGAAGTGTGAATTGCACAGACTTTTACCTGGATGCTATGGATCCAAACTCAGGTCTTCATGCTTGCTCTGGCAGGCACTGCCCCAACTCAGCCATCTCCCTAACCCTTCAAATATTTATTTTATAATGAAGGAAAGGAATATTTTTACTGGAAATTTCAATACATGTTTTTACTCGATTTTTATTATCCAATTAGTCTTTCCCAGCCCTACTACAACCCAGTTTTCTAACATTGCTATTATCTGGTCAACTTTAAGGAGGACCTCAATTACATGAGGATTCATTGCATAAACTTGAACTAAAACCAGACAAACGCTCCAAGACAGAGTCCTTTTCGCTAAAGAAAGCTCTCAGTACTTTCTGTGAGCTTCAACTGTAGCTGTTGCTTATGCAAACAGACTCTCACCTAAAGCTTCAGTTTGGCTGGGGCTCAGCTCATTTCTGCAGCCAATGAATCACAGCTCATGAAATGCAATAGAGTGCACAGAGGATTCACGCAGTGTGAACCTCTCCACATGCTGTGGCTCTTTCCCCGTCCTACCTCTCTGTCTTTTAAAATTTATTTCCTTTTCTTGCCTTGCTGCTCACAAGCACACAGGTCTTTTTCCACCCTGTAAACCCAATTCTTTATGATCATTCTAAATTCAGATGTGGCACACAGCAGCTGGGTCACTGTAACTGTTTCCAAGATTCATTAGAAGATCTAGGTAGAGTCAGGGAACTCAAGAGCGTCCAGGCCGATTGTTCGCGTTCTTCCTTTTCCCTTATCAACTTTGACTTTCCCCTTGATTCTACTCATCTCTGGGATTTCTAGTAATTGGTCTAGACTGCTACAAACATCAGTATCGGTGGGATAGCTATGAAGTAAACCGACAGAAGTCTCTAAGTTCACATGAACTTAATTTCTGGCTCCCATTCCTAGATATTCTTAGAATTATCAATTAAATTTGACTCTCAGAAGGTAGGGTCTGAACATTTCTGTTCCACATTGCTAGGTAATTGGTATTTCAGGGATGAGATAGGCTACCAGAACACAGGCTATTCTACTCCGTAGGTGACTGGTGAACGAATGACCCTTTGACTGTGTTCTTGCAGCTGAGCAAATCCAGCTCAACTATGAGTAATCCTGCTTCTTATGGCCTTATGTGTACTTCATATAAACTCTATTTTGTAATTACATTTTAAATATGGCTCACCAAAAGCTGAGTTATAAAAATGTGTCCAATTGCTTAGAAAACAAGAGAAAAATAGAGCCTTATGAGAACAACACCATTTTATCAGTGGACTTATTGTTACATTTCAGTGTTTTAACAGGCAAAGAACATTGGTTGTTTTGAGCCCAGAACAGACATCATGTAACGCACAGTGTAAATGAATTAATTGCAGAGAGAAGTGCATTGTTGGAAAATTTTTCCATAGTTTTCATATTTTGAATATACCCTTGACATTCTTTACGTCTAAATTTAGACTATAGAAAAGATTTCAATTAGTGTTCAGCCCTAAATAGGACACTTATCCCATCCCTTCTAATGCTCAGGGAAGATTCAGAAGAGGGTTTGGAAAGCAAGTAATTGCTGGAAGATAAGGAGAAGAGTTGCACAACGCTGTCTTTTGGATAAGACACAGCCATTAGAATTACAGACTTACAGCCGGGCGGTGGTGGCGCACGCCTTTAATCCCAGCACTAGGGAGGCAGAGCCAGGTGGATCTCTGTGAGTTCGAGGCCAGCCTGGGCTACCAAGTGAGTCCCAGGAAAGGCGCAAAGCTACACAGAGAAACCCTGTCTCGAAAAACCAAAAAAAAAAAAAAAAAAAAAAAAAAAAAAAAAAAAAAAAAAAAAAAAAAAGAATTACAGACTTACAGCAGTTGGGAAGCCTGTACTGCGTCAGCAGCCAGGCAGGGACTCAGGGCCTCTTATGCCTCACTGCTGACCTATTTGCACCCAATAGGAATCAAGAAGAGTGTGAGCCGTTGTTTTGATTTGTGTACCCACTAGTCACCCTTCCAATGAGAATAATTCCATTCCAATGTGCCCAGAGATGCACCTGGTTAGACTAAATAGGCCACAACCCCAAACAAAACAGGAAGTCAGGAATCCGGGCAGGGTCCTGGTTAGGAGAAGGGAAGAATGACAGGGATGGGAGGGAAATAAGAATGGGTGGTGGGAGAAGGTAATCATAGATATGTATGAAATCGTTAAAAATTGTATTAATTCTTAAAAATGCAAAAAAAAATCATTGAACTTCTGTGAGCAGTCCAATGTGATGTGCCATTATTCCATCTTTCTAAGAGATGAACTAAGAACTGGCTTGCTGCCATTTATCTGCTAGAGCATTCTTAAGCCCTGGAACCTACCGATTTGTACACTGCCTTCCTAACAGGCTGCATGAAATATGGGGCTTTGGGCCAACGAGGGTAGGTCTGAGGCAGAACTGAAGAAAGAGAGGGAACAGAAAGACACAACTGTCTCATCCTCAAAGTGGCTCCATGAAGCCGATGGGCTGAATCCAAAGATACTTGTCATTCTTGTTGTTTTAAAGTTTTATCTTATGTTCAATGGAAATAAGTGTAGATTTTTATGAATATACTATAATGTTTAAATGTGTATGCGTTGTGGACTGACCAAATCAAGCTAATCATTACAAGCATTTACTGTTTTGCTTTCTGTGATGAGAAAACTTAAAATTCTTCTTATGGTTGGTTGAAACACATACTATTATTATCTAGTATAGATCTCATGCAATAGAACCCTAAAACTCATTTCCCTTACCTGCTGTCACCTGGTACTCGTTTACCAACATCTTCTCTTTCCTTATCTATGCTCCACTGTCTGCCAGTCTACGGCAGCCACCATTTCATACCCTATTCTTTGTGTCAGCCATTTTAGATTCCACTGTGAGATTGGTTCTTTGTGCCTGGCTGACTTCCCTTGATAGAATGTCTTCTAGGCTCATTCAAAATGCTCCAAATGCAGAATACAAATGACCAAGAGGTACATGAAGAGACTTTCAACATTTCTGATCACCGGAGGATACAAACTGTGATATTGTCTTACAGCTGTGATGTTGGCAGTGTTCAAAACGATGAATGACGGCAAGTGCTGGGCAAGTTTTGAGGGAAAGGGAACTCTCTTTTGTTGGTATGTTAGGAATTTTGGAAAGCAGTATGGAAGATCCTCAAAAAGCCTGAAAATTAGTTTACCATGTGATCTAGTCACCCCACTACTGAATATATAGCTTAAAATAGGTATTTTAAAGAGACACTTGCCTTCTCTCATTCATTGAAGCACTATTCACAATAGCCAAGATATGGTAGAAAGCAAAGTATCTATTAACGAATAGACAGGTTTTATTTAAATATGCCATCTGAACACAAAGCAATAGTAATTAACATTTGTAAAACCTGAATCTGAGCTTGCAGTTACGTAGAACTCTGATTGAAACAGCAATAATGATGATTCACACCTGCTCACAAACTCAGTGAATTCACGAAGTTTTCAGTATTCAGCAAGCTTTCTGTCTAGTTATTAGTACCTTCCAGGACTTGGCCATTTTCATTAGTGATTAGACATTTATATTATTGAATATGAAAAGAACAGTAAACCAATCATGTGTTCAGGGCGCTGATGTAATTGCACTTACCAGAATACTCTTGAGGGCAGACACAAGTGTATCTCCCTATCTCATTGAGGCACACAGCCTCATTCATGCAAGGATCAGAAACACATTCATCTACTTCCAAGTCACAATGCCGGCCTTGGTATCCAGGCACACAGAAGCAGGAATAGCCATTGACTCCATCCTGGCACACAGCCCCATTGTGGCAAGGGCTGGACGTACACTCGTTGTGATCTGTCTCACAGAACCTCCCAGTGTATCCAGCAGGGCAAATACAGACAGAGTGTGCAGGGTCTTTATGGCAAGTGCCTCCATGTTGGCAGGAGTTCCCTCCACAGGAATCGATGGCAGTTTCACAGGTCAGTCCACTGTACCCAGGAGGACATTGGCACAGGAAGCCCCTTTCTCCTGGAGTACTCACACAAGTGGCATTTCCTTGGCAGGGACTGGAGAAGCAAGGGTCTTTCCCATCTTCACAGTCTTTGTCCAAATTATTGTCTATGTCTGAACAGCAATTGTCTTGTGGAAAACCCTTGCACATAGAACTGTTTTGGCAAGAATTTGAGAGGCACCCGGTATGGTTTTTATTGCAAAACGAATCTAAAAGGAAATATAAAATATCAAGATTAAATTTACAAATGGCTGAGGGTAAAATTAAAGAACACTCTTTTAAACATACACATTACTGAAACACATCACCGGGTATGTTCTAATGTTAAGTTTTAATTCTTCCTTTACCCAGAAGTTTTCTGTAGTCGTTAATAAGAAACTAAGGCAGGAGCTGGGGAGATGCCTCGGCCAGCAAAACGCTTGCTTTGCAAACATGAAAACCCAGGTTCAATCCCCAGAAACTATAATTAAAAATCAAGGTTTGATAGCGGACACTTGTAATTCCAGTGCTGGAGAGGTGAATCCTTTGGTCTGTGGAATGGATGGAACTATTTTGTGTTGCTGTGAGATTGAGAAATGCTATGTGTGAAGACCTGGAATGTTTAGCACAGAGTACCCCATTAGATAACCAGGATTTTATTATTATTATTATTATTCATTTTTCTGGCCAGTCAACCTAGTCTAATCAATGAGTAGAAGGCCGATGAGAGACCCTAAGGAATAACATCTGAGGTGGTCTTTGACTTACACATGTGTGCTCACTTCCACACTTGTGCACATGCACATCCATAGGTACACAATGCAAACACACACATATACATGCATGCATGAATAAGAAGCAACAGTGACTTCACAGCATTTCTTCTGCATCTTGCCCCCCTCAGGTCTAAGTGCAGTAGAATAACGAGAATCAAGCACTGTTATTCCCTCCAGCTCCTCAGAGTTCTGATCCTCATTAAGACTTAAGGAAATACTAGATCACTTAGAAAGTCATCTGTGAATCAGTTGCTTAACTGAAACACATATTTAAACAAATCCCATTTCTTAGTTTATGAATAGCTGTTTAATCGGCATCACTATTTTATGCTTTAAACAGCAAAGCAAAGAAAAATGAAAAATGATTAAAAAAAATATCCTGGTTATCTAATGGGGTACTCTGCGCTAAACGTTCCAGGTCTTCACACATAGCATTTCTCAATCTCACAGCAACACAAAATAGTTCCATCCATCCCACAGACCAAAGCAGATAATGTCCTACTACAAATATATTGAAGCCAAGGGTCTAAACTTCATTTTCCTGAAAACCTTCTCTGTTCAAGGAATATATTTTTGAAAACACAATTGGAATAATGGTGCCAAGAAAAGCAATAATTCTATGACTCTCTCTAAATTGATTGGATACATTTCTAGTTTATCTTCTGAAGCATGGCGTGCTGGAGGATGTAGAACATCTTAGAACTCCTTAGAAGGCTGTTGTGTGATGAGACCTACAACCCTAGTACTAGGTAAACAGAGGCAGGTCTCAGTTTGAAGCCAGCCTGAAGTATGTAGCAAGACACTGTCACTTTTGTGTGTGTGTTTGTGTGTGTGTGTGTGTATCACACACACGAGAGGAAGTCATTTAAATCAGAATTATGTGCCTGACTATACTACTAATTTAATTTGAAGATAGAAAAACATTTAAGTGCTCACCGATTCACAACTGTCTCTTTTACTTGATTTTCAGGAAGATTCTGGGGCCCGTGAATGAAAATGACAGTGAGACTATGGAAGAAGACATTCATTCTAGGAAACCCTGTCAGTAATGCAACAGGACAAAAACAAGCAGATTTCTACTAAAAAAGAAACCCCAGCACTCCAGAGGTGCTGTCGGTATCAACATTAAGCAGAGCGGAAAGTGGAGCCTCATGAGGGATGTGTCAGAGAAGAAAAATGCAGCGTTCTGTGTGTGAGGGGACAGCAAATAAACAGAGCCAGTCTACATCTCCAAACAACCTTTGCTGCTATTAATTTGGGGAAAATGCTAAAAGCTGTACAGGAAGGGAAATGAAATCGCTGTAGGTCGGCAGGTGAAATCAATACAAAAACTGAAGAGAAAATAAAATTGAAAACTTCTGAGAATAACACTTTGCTATAAAGTAATATATAGTTGTGACTGATATTGGGAGCAATAGACTTTAGTGGTGTGTGTGTGTGCGAGAGAGAGAGAGAGAGAGAGAGAGAGAGAGAGAGAGAGAGAGAGAGAGAGAGAGACCTACTGAAGAATTAAATAAATTTTGCCACATTAGGATGCCAATACTTTTTGTTTTGTTTTGCTTTGCTCTGAGACAGGGTCTCTCTGCCTGGTCCTGGCTGTTCAGGAACTCATTGTGTAGACCAGGCTGGCCTCACAGAGATCCACCTGCCTCTGACTCTGGAGTGTGGGGCTCAAAGATGTGCGCAACCATGCACGCCCAGCTGGGATGCCAGTACTTTACGTATCTAAAGATGAAAGAAACATCTGAGAAATATAAATGAAGACTAAAGGAAATTGTTAGATGTGGTTCAAGGAAATTGTCCTGGAGTGTGCACCTTTGGCGTGTGAAGCAGGTATGTGCTTCATCATAGCCCTGGGATTCTGGGAGGATTACTGAAATAAATTTCATAAAATACTTGTAAAACAAGCCAGGTGGATTTAAATACAGTCCACACCCTGTCCCCCATTGTTCCGTTTCTCTGTACGCTGCGACACTCTTCTAGTGAGAGTTCAAGCCTCGTACTTTCCTCTCCTTGTTCCTGCTGCACTACTATGTAGGTTTGTGGATGTGTCCCTAGGTGCTAGCAGGCCTTCTCAGAGACGCAGGTCAGCACACGCGCACTGACTAACGAAAACAACTATCTGTCAGAGAGAACACTCTCTTTTTTCAAATCTATAAAGTAACTTCAACTTACTACATTTTATTTGACATGGTCTCACCCAGGCAAGCCTCAGACTTGAACTTTTTCTCTCTTTGCTTCCGACATGTTGGGATTACAGGCGTGTGTCACCCTGTCCGGCTAATCTAATGCTTTATCGAGACAAATGGATTAAATAATTAAATAAGCAGTTAAGGAAACGGAGCGAAGGCAAAAACTTATGATGGACGGCTATGACCTAGGATAACGGCCACTCCAATTTTTCCGAAATACTTGGGGAAAAAAAGTCACACGTACCATTATGCCCGGCACACTGCATTCTCTCAGTAAAAATGAAAATAATTTTAATAATTATTATGCTTTTGAGTCAGATCCATCAAGATTTAAATTTATCATTGGGATTTAGTTTCCAGGAAATTGGGCGTAGAGAATCTGGCCTTCACATTAGCTTTCTCACTGAGAGTAGGAACTTTCCCTGGGTGGTGAATGTGCAGAACAGAGGCTACAGCATCCTTTCTTTGCAGTAAAGAGCGCCATCTGCTGGCGCTCTTAAGAATCTTCATTAGCTTTAAACTTGTCCTTTTCCTCCTTCTTTTTCTTGTCTCTGTAAAAGCAGCAGAAATCTTTAAAGGCAAGTGTCCCGATTGATCCCAGTGAACACATCCGCGGTAGGCCTGGTGCAATTGAAGCACCCTAAGGGGCCCTTGCTGCGGGTCCAGCAGGGCTTCCCCCTCCTCGGTGGAGATGCCCATAAGGAGCCCCGAGGGCAGAGAACAGTGGGGGGGGGGCGGATTTCCTGTAGTTTTTATAAGAAACTATTTTTGCATTTCCCATTTCCATCTTAAAATAAAATAATTCTGCTTGTTGAAAAGTAGGAATTAATTTTACCAGTTTTGAAGATATTAAAGACTCATATTTTTTGCATGTATGTGTCAGTATATATTTTTCTGTATTTAAATTTATACGGAAAACAGGCACATTGGCAGTTTAGTTACTTATGAGGTGGGCCATATTTATTTGCCTTGTGAAACAAGAATGGATCTTCCCAGGGTGTGTGTGTGTGTGGGGGGGACAGTTTAATTTTTCAGAGATTGCTTTTGACAGCGTTTACTCTTTAGTCTGTTCTGGTTTTCCTCTACTTGCCAAAGAAGATAACTGAATGATATTTGGATATTCGATTATCTGAAAAATGATCAGGTTGTTGTTCAGTATCACCTCTTTGTTAGCTTTTTTATTAACCGATAAAGAGAGAGAAGCAGAGGGGACCCCAGAGCAGCCCCAACCCCGTCTCTGCCTGCGGAGCCTACGACTCCTCATCTGTGAAACATGAGCAGGACAACTTGTCTCAGGATTTTTTAATGGAGATTGAATCATTAGATTTTAATCCTTGGCAAATGTACTAAACACTAGATAATCACTAATCACTAGGTTATGATAATGAGCTAACCAACCATACCGAGAACAAGATGTGTTGTCTAGTCCTCTGTACCTATTTATCCTAATACGCACTCTACAGTTACTTCCTGAGTATGAATTAAGCAAGCCATGATTTTTTAATGATGTGTCTTTGTACCAAGCAATCACATGTATATGGAAACCAACTGCAATCACTACATACGACCCAGATGTAAAGAAGTAATGATTAATACTCATTAAAAACCATTTTCACTTAAGTATTCTGTTGTTATCACTTTCTCAGTCTTTTCTCAGGACTCTCAAGTCCTGAGAGCATGTCTGCCATTCACTTTTATTGATACTGAATTTAAGCATCAAATTCACCCTCTGTCATCAGAAAGATGGGAAGGGGGGAAGGCTGGAACTCCTATATATCATATGTGGGTCAAAAATAGCAATTTTAATGTGCCTGTACTTAGCCAACTAAACTTGACCCACTACTTTCCCAGTAGTATATGCACACTTATTTGGGTTCATATTGCTCAGAGGCATGAATTTTCCTGGATTTATTTATTTATTTTGTTTTTCCCAGACTAGTAGGACATGGCCAAGGACTTAGAGAACTCATTTCTAAGGGATGTGCTAGGTTTGGTGTAGAGTAACTTTGAAAACATGACCAGGCTGTGCTTTCCGTTTTAATTTTATCTCACATTTAATCACATCAAAGCTGGAGATAAATACAGGATTTATGATCACAAAGTGTGATCATCCCAACAGCTTGTAGTAAATGGTTTCTGATGTTTTTATAGAGAAAACTAAATATTTACTAATGAGATGCTATAAAAATGAACTGGGAAGTATAAGCGTGTTGACAGAGTCAAGCCCAAATCAACAGGTCTAAGAATTTTAATTTATGAAAA